TTTTTTTTTTTTGCTCCTAAAAATGTAAATTGGAGGTTTGAACAAACAAGTCAGACGTTTAGTCAGTGTAGAAGACACTGCAGCTAACGTAGCTTAACTTAAAGCCTTGAAAGAGCTAATGTAGCTCTAGCTAAACGTGACCAGCACCTCTATAGCTCGCTTCTTAAATTACACGTGTTGTTCTCCGAAAACTCAGTGGAGAATGATGACATCATAAACCTGAGGGACGACAAAAACTCATGTGTATGGAGAACAACCGGTAAAGAGTCTGTCTGACGGCTCACCTTCATTATAAATAACCACGCTGCTCGGCCCAGCAGCTGTGCTTCCCCCTGACCTCTGACCTCTGACCTGACGCAGGCCTGTTTTTAGACATGCCGCTAAACTACATGCCAGACTTTATTTGACTGTACAACCTAATGTGAACTCTGTTTTGTGTCCTGGCGCGTTAATGTCTTCTCTTGCCCATCGTCGTCCTCTCATCCAAGCCTGGATCGGTAAGCAAAGAAGTCGACCCTGATGAAATCTAATTTTTTTTTTTCCACAATAGTTAATAATCATGCATGCGTCTAATCCCCGTAATTGCAATGCTGATGAGAAGAATGTCCGTCTTGTCTCCTGTAGCAAAGGCATATGTGGCTTGAAGAAGTTTGCAAGGCAGCGGCCGATTGGCTATTAGCATGAGCTTTGCTGTGCCATTCGGTGTCTTAACTTGATTACAGGGGGGCATGCTGGGATTTAATTCTGCGGCGATGTTTGTCTGTAGGCATCATCAAATATAGACAATGATTATATCATCGGCTTGTTTGCGACCGCGGAGCCTAAATTACAAACGCCCGCGGCCATTTGCAAGTCAAATTGCCGCGTTCGCTTCAAAGCAGCTTGATGCAATCATTCAGCCTGAAAAATGAATAAATATTTGTGTAATCCACGTCCTCGTATCAGAGGAGCCGTGTGTTTCTATCGTAGGTGTGATTATTTCTGGAAAGTTAATTGTTTCGATAATGGAACAATGGGTTTTAATGACGTCCAAAGACTGGAATTGGACTCTGATTTTGTGGCAGAGATGAGCATGTTGCAGCAGGTAGCCACCCGTAGCACAATCTGCTTCGCTTCTAATCACAGCAAGAACATGTTTTTATTCTCTGTAGCAACACTTGTGGAGTAAAGGGAACAATGAGACATCATAAGCACAAGAATTATCTCACTCTGATGTTTATATGTCAAAGGTAAATCAGCGATGATTCAAGATGTGGTCATCGAATCCTTTTCACGAGTTAATGTAGTTGAGGTTTAATGATTCAGTTTAACCTGCTTTATTTTAATTATGAAAAAAAAACAGATATTAAGCAGATGAATTTAAAGCAGTTAAAGTTTTCTGTATCATTTTCTTCAGCAGATGCTAATACTGAAGTTTCATATCGGCCGATTCCTTATTGATTGATAGCTTCAGGCTGCTCTTCACTCATCGTAGCAGCAGTGGATCCATCCTGTTCCCTCCATTACAATGTGATGCATAGTAAAAGCATGCATCCTCACATCAGTGTCTCTTATCATGTGATTATTATTGAGAATGATGCATCATCTCATTTCACAGTGAAGTGCATGCAGTGTGCTTATAATGTTTCAAACTGCACTTCAAGTCAAGTGTTGCTATATTTAACGCAAATAGATTTTTAACATAGAGCTTAACAATAGAAATCTTTTTTTTAATCAAGCGGGCGGAGTCGTAAGAGGTCCCGTGCTCATTGTGTGTTGTCGTCCCGTGTGTCAGGCTCGGCTGGCCCACGTCGCAGCAGAGGCAGAGCTGAACGCCCCCTTCGCCGACGAGCTTCCCTCCCGGCAGGCGCAGCTCACGGCGCTGAAAGACACCGAGGAGTTCGACGTGCTGGTTATCGGAGGAGGGGCCACAGGGGCAGGATGTGCCTTAGACGCTGTCACACGCAGTAAGCTCACTGTCGGCAGCTCCGCTCTGCTTTACACTACCACACCCCCCCCCCCGCCCTCTAGTCTGTAATTGTCCTCATGGAGGGAAAGGCCTCGCAGGCTGGTAATGGTTTATAATGGCCTCACTCATAAGAGCAAAGGTCGTTAGTGGAAATACACCTGATGGTTTGAGAGTTCCAGTTAGTTCCACACTTACACACTTTAAAGGAACGCGATTTATCGTACTCTAAATAAATTCCCTGCAGAAGAAGATTTATAATAAGTAGAAACTTTTAAACTAATGGTAAATGGTTTCCCTCAGACCTGAAGACTGCCCTCGTGGAGAGAAGCGACTTCTCCTCTGGGACGAGCAGCCGCAGCACCAAGCTGATCCACGGCGGCGTGCGCTACCTTCAGAAGGCCATCATGCAGTTAGACTACGAGCAGGTTCCTCTTCGTCTTTTTATTTCTCCTCTTCATCCTTCAGCCTTGCCGCCGCTGTTCCCTCATCTTGTTCTTACGTCTCCTCAGTACATGATGGTGAAAGAGGCGCTTCATGAGCGAGCCAACCTCCTGGAGATCGCGCCTCACCTGTCGGCACCGCTTCCCATCATGCTTCCTGTTTACAAGTAAGTGTCGGACTCGGAGGAGAAACGGTTCTGTCTTATCAACCACTTACGGAGATTTACACTATGAGCCACAGTCACACATTCGTACCGTGCTACTATTAGCTTTTCTTATCACGCGCCGAGCGTCAGGCTTCACCTCCTCAGTCCACAAGATAAATAACAGTGAACTCAGCGATTGAGGACAAACAACTGGTGACTTCATGTTTAAAAGAGCAAATCTCCATTTCCAAGATGGTGGCAGTTGCCTTACTACTGGGCGGGGATCAAGATGTACGACCTGGTGGCTGGGATCCAGTGCCTGAAGAGCAGCTACGTCCTCAGCAAGACCAAGGCCCTGGAGCATTTCCCCATGCTGAAGAAGGACAAGCTGGTGGGAGCGATCGTCTACTACGACGGTGAGCCACCGGCCTCTTCTTGCTTTGGTTTCATTTCTATATTTTCACATAGACACGAGCGCGTGTGGACAGTAATCTAACAGGAGCGCGTTCGCTTTGTTTCCTGTAAACACCGAGTCGGTGCTGCTGCTTTTGCTCTTTTCACTGTTGACCGACTGGAAATGAACAGAATCACAAATGAGAGAATGTTAAAAGCACGTTTTCGTTGTCCAAATGTCCCCGTGCATTTTTGATTTGACCTTTACCTTTGTGGGAAAACTCACGACAAGCACCTGATTTTAAAAGTGCAAACCTGAAAAACTATAAAATCCTAAAAAGAGTCTGAATAAATGCTCACGTTCAAAATAGTAAAAAGATTGAAGACCTCCCTCTGATGTGAATCTTGCCTGAGGCGTTCACATGTCCACTGGTCCCGAACAAAATGTGTTGACAGGCCGGTGGGACGCCCGCTCTCCCCCCCGGGGCAGTAAAGGTTGCGTGTTTGCCGGATGGGTGCGGAGGAGAATCATACATATGCTGAGTGTCCGGCTGAGTGTGAGGAGATTTGTGTCCCTCGGCGTCTGCAAATAACAACTGTGTCTTCAGGTGATGTGTGTGTTACTGTCGGCTGCTCCGACTCTCCCGGTTTTTAAAATATCATCCATTTACAGAGGATTTTTGATATTTTGGCTCATGTGTTTACGTCAACAATTCCTAAATGTTGTTTGTAACTGAGGCTTCGAATTAATTCACTTCTAAAAAACAGAAATACACCACGACAACCAAGTATTGTGAAATTGAATTAATAAACTAAACTAGTGTTATTTGTAAATCTTTTCTGCAACCGTTCATTAATTCTGTTTTAAAACAATTCAGCTCCAGATACATTTTTCTTTATTTGAAAATATTCGACAGGTTCCGGAGACGGACGCCCACGTTGCTTTTATTTGAACATTTATATTCAAACTGGCTTTTCCTCTGTATTCACATGAAAGTGCTCAGATATAAGTGGATTTACTGGCGGCTGGAAAAAAAGGGGGAAAAGCATTTACTTGGTGCGAAGCAGCACATGTTTGATTTCCTCCTCCAGCACCACCTGCTCTGAGGGGGTAGACGGGGCCGGGATGGTGGAGGGCTGGGGCGTCTTTTCTCCAATTATGCCGTCTGGAACAATCACGCCCGTGACATTTCAAAATCTGACCTTCTCTCCTGGCGGTGAGCAGCGTCGGCGGCGGTCGGACCGGCTGAGCAACAGCCGCTTTCTCCTGCTGTCTTGGTTACCGCCACCAACCGCAGCATCTTTTCTTCTCAGACACTGGGGAGCAAGTGTGGCGGCCTCACTCATCCTTTCATTCTAAATTAGCTGGTTGGTTTGTTTATGTGCTGCGGTAACTACAGCGGCGTCACACTGTCGTTCGTTATCGGTGCATTAGAGGTGTTTCTAGTATTCTGACCCCTCGTGAACAGGAAGGACAAACACCAAACACTCTTTTTTGACATTTAGAAATAAAATTCCTCCTCTCCTTCGTCCCCTCCAGGGCAGCACAATGACGCCCGAATGAACCTGGCCATCGCCCTCAGTGCCGCTCGCTACGGCGGCGCCATCGCCAACTACACTGAGGTGGTTCGCCTGCTGAAGACAAAAGACGAGGAGACCGGCAAAGAGAGGGTGTGCGGCGCCCGCTGCAGAGACGTCATCACCGGTGAGACGTGGACACCAGTTACTTTTCTATTTATTACCTTCAAAAGAAATATCATACGTGTACTTATTAACTGTTTAAGTGCTTTGAGTATTTCTTTAAGGAAGAGAGGAGATTTAAAAGAGTAAAATAATTAATCGTATTTTTAAAATCGTCCTCTCAGAGTGAAATATAAAATGCAACAAAGATTTATTTTGTTGTTTTCAGAGGCGAAGCTCAGTGAGAGCTGCAGCTGAACACGATATATATTTTATATTCGTACAACTTATTTGAGTTGAACGCCTTTTCACCAGGAAATGAATTTGACGTGAAGGCGAAGTGTGTGATCAACGCCACCGGCCCGTTCACGGACTCTGTGAGGAAGATGGACAACCAGGAAACCAGGAACATCTGTCAGCCCAGCGCAGGCGTCCACATCGTCATCCCCGGTTACTACAGGTGATCGCACTCTGACATTCATTTCCTATTGAAGTCCTCTTCTTTCAAATGCATTCACTTGTACACATTATTCCGGTGTTTTCTCATTCCTCTGTGTAAACCGTTATCTGACCTACGCTCACACGCGCAGAACAATCGTCTGTGGTTAAGACACAGCCGAGCGATAGAGTGGTTTTGTTGAAGTTGAGGGTTTTTAAAGTTCAGTGGAGCTTATTGAGCGAAACCCGAGGGAGCGCGATCCCTTTGAACGGCGGCAGAAATGCCAACCACCTAATTCTCTCGTCTTCCTCCTGCCGCTACCCCCCCTCCCCCCCCACCTCCTTCCTCCTGTCGTCTCACCGTTTTTCTTCCTCTCTAACTCCTCAATTTGATCGTCTCCTCGATGTCTTCCTTTATGTTTTTTTCCTGTTTCCTGATCCTCCTCTCCGACACGTTCAGTAAATTAGATATTCTGTAAATTGTGACATCGACCACAAACTCTTGTCCGACAGTCCCGACAACATGGGTCTGCTCGATCCCGCCACAAGCGACGGGCGTGTCATCTTCTTCCTGCCCTGGGAGAAGGTGACCATCGCCGGCACAACCGACACCCCCACCAGCGTGACGGCTCACCCAATCCCGGGGGAGGACGACATCAACTTCATCCTGAGGGAGATCCGCAACTACCTCAGCCCTGACGTAGAAGGTACCGGCATTTAGTCTCTCCCCTTTCCAGAGCGGCACAAAGTCTCCTGTCATTCATCTCGATATTGTTTTAGAAAGAATAAAACACCTTTTTTTAAGACGCTCTGGTGACTCTGTGTGTGTGTGTGTGTGTGTGTGTGTGTGTGTGTGTTGCAGTGCGGCGAGGTGACGTGTTGGCGGCGTGGAGCGGCATCCGTCCCCTGGTGACCGACCCCAACTCCAAAGACACCCAGTCCATCTGCAGGAACCACATCGTCAGCATCAGTGACAGCGGACTGGTCACCATCGCCGGTCGGTTTGAAGATTTGAAAACATTCGTCTTTTACCTTCACATTTTGATATTAACGCACATTGTCCTCGTCCAGGTGGGAAGTGGACCACCTACAGGTCCATGGCTGAAGAGACTCTGGACGCTGCCATCAAGTCTCACGGCCTCTCTGCTGAATCCTGCAAGACGGTGGGTCTGATGCTGGAGGGGGCGAAGGGCTGGACGCCGACGCTCTACATCCGCCTGGTGCAGGACTACGGCCTGGAGCAGGAGGTGAGAAACCACAGACACAAACAATCTCACCGGCGGAATCAAACCTCAGCGGCTGGAGAAAACTCTGGATCTTCTCTAGAAAGACAGAAAGTATCTTAGTTTACCAGAAAACCAGAGAACGGGTGATTGTGTTCGAACATTTAAACACGGGACACGACGGCATCTGCCTGGTGTGTTTCTGAACGATAGCACAGGTTTAGGTTTTTGTCTCTTTGAGTCTTAATATCTTCATCACGCTCTTCTTCTTCGAGTCGAACAATCAAGACACAACCTTTAGAAAGACGGGAACTATTTCTTTAGTAGCAGCGCCGCCGCCGCCAAGAACAGTTGTGACTTCCTGAAACATTTTCCAGTGAAGTGTAGAGAGAGTAGACCTTTAACTACCTACTGTACACACACACACACACACACACACACACGTTCATCTACTAACCAGCCCGTACAAGTCGGTCACTCTCTTCTTCAGCAGCGGTGGATCTGACATTAAGGCCGCTGCTGTAACAACGCTGACATTTCCTCGACACAAAAGACCGGACGCACGTGGAAACGCACTGTACGCTGAGCAATGTATCAGTGGCATTAAGTAAGGGCACATCGATTTACATCAGCTGCACGCCATCTTTCCAATAATTGGCCTGAGCGTTTTCATTAAAGCCGATAGGACATTGTTTCATGAAGAAAAAGTGCTGGAGTGTCTTCAGTACACTTACTCCTCATTAGAGGCGTCCGCCGCCGCTCTGGAATATTCCTCAAAGGTCACTGTTGATATTTGGACAACGTTTGCCCTTTGAACACGATCGGCGAGCCGACGATCTGAATAGCAAATAGAGCTCTTGTGTTCCGTAACAACGTGACGCAGCATCGACAAAGTGACGCTAACGGTTATCGCTCAACTCCGAGGAGGCGGGATCGATCGCGTGAACACGAGGAGCTGCCGCCGAGAGCCGCGATGTAAATAAACTTTAACACAACACATCAAAAGTCAAATAATCAGAGTCCAGGCTGCCAGAACTAAACCGACTGAATTAAATGTCTTGTTCTTTAATCCCGCGTTCTTCTCTCTGTACGCAGGTCGCTCAGCACTTGGCCGCCACGTACGGAGGAAAAGCGTTCAACGTGGCCAAGATGGCGCAGGTCACCGGGCAGAGATGGCCGATCGTCGGCAAACGGCTGGTGTCTGAGTTTCCGTACATTGAGAGCGAGGTGAAGTGCGACTCGACGTTAACGGCTCGGTTGTGTCTCGCAGCTTTTCATCTTCCTCACGTGTGTGTGTCTTTCTGTCTCAGGTGCTGTACGCCATTAAGGAGTACGCCTGCACCGCCATCGACGTCATCGCCCGACGAACGCGCCTGGGCTTCCTGAACGTGCAGGCGGCCGACGAAGCCCTCCCCCGCATCGTCCAGATCATGGCGAAGGAGCTGGACTGGAGTCAGGAGAGGACGACGGTATGGTTTCACCCGAAGGTTCAGTTTATTTGTTGTAAGATTCAGAGGAAACACTCATTTCTTTCTCCGGGTGAAAATCAGGCTGAACTGGACGCGGCGAGGAAGTTCCTGTACCACGAGATGGGCTACAGGTCTCGTTCTGAGCAGCTGACCAAGACGTCCGAGATCAACTTAGACTACCAGGAAGTGATCAGGTGATTGTTTAATGATGCTCAATGATCAGACAGACGATAAATCACCGTGAGTATAATGAGCTTTAACGACGACTGATGTTTGTTTGACAGATACAAGAAACGTTTCCACAAGTTTGACAAAGAGAGCAAAGGATTCATCACCACGGTCGACGTCCAGCAAGTTTTAGGAGTAAGCTTTTCCTTCTCTTCCTCTTTTTGCTTGATCCTTCTCTCTCTCTCTCTCTCTCTTTCGTCCCTCACACGTCTTCCTGATCTGTTATCGATCCCTGTTTTGTTTTTTTTCTTCTCTAAAGAGCATCAACGTTCACATCGATGAAAACGCGCTTCACGAAATCCTCAACGAGGTCGACGTCAACAAGAACGGACAAATAGAAATAGACGAGTTCCTGCAGGTACGTGACAGATGTTGAATCAGTGTCGATGAAAACGGGATTCCTTCAGTGTGTTTCCTGTGGAAATAATGATTCCTAAAAACTAAATGTCAGATCTGGACTCAGTCTTTGTTCGTTACAAGAATCTTGTTTTTTTTTTTCTGTCTTCTGTCGCTTGTTTTTATCGCTGCAGAAATCTGGATTCAAATCCTGAAACTCAGCTTTGTATACAGTATATATATATATATATATATATATATAAAAGTATTTGTTTGTATTCCATCGATATATTTACTCTCAGCTCAGAGACCAGCAGCAGCTAAAGCAGCATCATGTGAAGAGTCGTGTTTTCAGTGGCTCTCCTCGTCTTCCTCGCTGTCGTGTCGCCTCTGGTCTGGAGGTGTGGATATAGAAAACAAATTGTCCACCAGAGACGTGAAGGTGTGAAGTCTGAGCCCTGAGCTGATGAGGCTAATGAGAGAGGAGGTCTCGTGTAATGAGGCCTGAGGTTCGTCCGCTGCTCCGTCGTCCGTCTGCTGCGAAATTACTTTCCGGCAGAGTCGAGGGTTTAGTCCTCGTTAGTGGACGAGTCTTTTCCCACAAATCAGCCGAGGTGTCGAAGTATCTGAAGTAAAACCCGACGGATGGTTATTCAATGTGTGTGTCACGTTGTGTGTCTTTGTGACGCTCACTGTCGTGTGTGTTTGTTTCTGCCCGTGTTGGTCCGACCTGCCCGTGGACGACTCAGAGACAACAAGCAGGTAGTGAAGCACCGGTGGGGAATCGGCCGCTGTCGCCCTCCTGAGTCCATCAAGCCGACTCGACAAAAAGGGCATTAACAACAAATTAATTATTCTCTTCGGGAAAAACTGTGTAAAAACTGACAAAACTAAAAAGTGGTCCAATAAGTGTGAAAGCTGCAGGAGGTGACTTCACGTGTTATCGAGACAAAACCCAGAAAAAGACCAAAACAATTGGTCCCGTCTCTCATCTACGTCTCGTTCCTGTTAAACTGGAGTTTAGAAAATAATTCTTTAATGAATGAATTCAGTCTTTACATGTACGAGAACAATTATTAAGAAAAGATTGAACCAGTAAAGTGAACCAGATTTTTAAGCTGTTATAACATTTAAATATATATTTACAGCTGAAAACATCAGTACATCGTGTTTTTTATTCTTTAAGTCTAAATAATATTATTTAACTGTAGTTTCCAGCTGCTTTAGTGACGTTATTGTCTGAACATTTATTTATTTATTCATAAATCTGATTTATTTTAAAGGATGAAACAACATTTTTTATTGTTTAACATTTTTACTTTTTCACTAAAACCGATTCTTGAGTTTCTGTCTCTTCTGTGTTTGATTCAAATCGTCACTGGTTTGTTCTTTTCCTGGGTTTTTCTGGACAACGTGAGAAAAGCAGAATAACGCCAGTGAACTTCTGGACGTGTGACGTCTCAGCAGTTTTCATTTGAGGCGATTTGAAGCGAGAATCAGATTTTGACTGAAGCTGCGTCTTCACACTCACAAAAAGAATCACGGTTCAGCTCTAACACGTGAAGATCGCAGCTGGTGTTGGTTTCACATGTGAAGGTGGTCGGACGCCTCTGAAGTCTGTGGGGATTTCACACGTGTGTCGTACGGTTAATTATTTCCTGCCCGTTTGACAAGTTAACCTTTTCCCGGTGTTTCTCCGCCGCAGCTGATGAGCGCCGTGAAGAAGGGGCAGGTGTCGGACAGCCGGCTCGCCATCCTGATGAAGACGGCGGAGGAGACTCTGGATGAGAGAGGCCCGGTGACGGTGGACCGCAGCGGGGGCGGATTCTGAACGAGGAGGATTTAAGGGACGCTGCGACGCCGCTCCTCCCAAGGTGGTAATGACAACGACAACAACACAACATGCAAATGGTGCTATTTGAATGACAATACAGTAATCAAGCACACGAGCGGATGGATCGGTGACACTCCTGATTCCTGAGAGCGAAAAGAGAACGTGATGATCGAGGCCGATTTTCAAGAGGTGCCTCTCATGTCACACAGCACACAGCCAACCTGTTTTATACTCCGTCTTTTAAAAGTGACCTCCGCAGCTTCACTCACACTCCTTTTTTTTTTAACTTCTTTTTAAACGGCGCCGATTGTTGAGGAGGAGCCGTCCTCCGTGTGACGCAGCTTCTCCTTCTTTAGTCCAGTTTGATTTCACAGGTTCGTTATTTCCTGAAAGTTTCCTGCAGAGAATTTGTTTGAAAAGATAAAAGAATATTGTGCATAAGATAAAACACCATGAAAACGATCCTAGAAGAAAACAGAGACGTCACAAACTGAAAACACGTCTCTCCAGCGAACTTGAGGAAACAATGTCCTGTAAATAAAGTTCTGAGCACTGGTGGTTTAATATTTGATATTTACTGGGGTGTTTAAAGCACCGAGACGTTTCTGAAGCTCTTCTGTCGGCTGTTCTTTGTCTCTCTGGGTTTTTAAATGTAAAAAAGATTTAACATCTATTTGTCCACATCGATCTTCTGACGTTTACATGACGAGCTTTAGTTTTCAAATCACTGCTGTTACTGTTCTTTCCACGCACGTGTATTTTTCCAGACTTATTTATTCTTTTCTCCTCAGAGATTCTAGATTTTAACTTTATTTTAAAGTGCATCTCTGAAACAGGATGTTGTCATTGCCACACGTTGACGTATATTTCCTTTTCTTTTTTGATTTGAGCAGCTGTATTAACGCACACTCAGTCTGTGGGACTGGTTTATAACCCTGCATGCTGTCCGCTGATTGTAATGAGAGTTTTAAAGCAGATTAATGTCGTCGCATGTTTGGTTTTAAGAGTTTAGTGGTTTTCTTCTTTAAATGGTGGATGTCTGAATATATATAATTATATATATTTACCTTCATGTGCCTCGAATATGACACTTAACTCCTCACGCTCTGTTTCACAAACAAGTTCAGGAAACGATGTAGAGATACTGATCATTTATAAGAGTTTTTAAAATGCTTTGTGTGTTTGTATGTGTGAGAACTTGAGGCCTGTTGTTAATCTTTTATTTTGAAAGGCATGTATATGTACACTGTGCTTCCTTATTGCCTTCACGTTTATTCTCATGAGTACCTTCAGCTGGACTCTGATCATTTTTATGCAGTAAACCGAATCATTCCGTTCTCCACCAAACACTGGAGCTGTGACTGACGTGTGTGTTTGTGTGTGTGAGAGAGAGAGAGAGAGAGACGACCCTTCAAACTGCCAACGCCGGTCCGTCAGCCATCGCTCGTGGGCAGCAGCACCACGTAAATCCTGATGTCTGATTGTCTCCTGCGGGATGAAATTTCAGCTTTATCCCGACTCAAAGAGAATCATGTTCCTGCTTCTTGTTGTTTTTGCTCCAGAGCAGCTCCAGAGTCTGCGGGTCTAAAAAAAGACCAAGCAAACAAAGTCATTATCTCATTAAATGTATCCGGTTGCTTGAGAAGCTTTTGTGCCGTTTGTGTGTTTCTCGTGAGCATCAGTCAAACCTGGCGTCAGAGAGCGGCCGAGCGACGTGAACCGGACACACGAGGATTTTCTCTTTTGCCTTTGTTTGTTTCGGTTTATTGTCTCATTTCTTCTGTCAAGTGATTTTAAATTGTGTCTGTCTCTCACCACAAAGTCCATTTGGTTCTTACATCAAATCACATGATGAGTTTATTCAATTGAATTCATTCATTAAATGTTTCACATGTAAAACTCACTTCTAGTCTGTATTTGTGTATTTATATCGTCATATATGAAGTACATCTGTTAGTACTTGTAACTCCAAACTGTCTTTCGTCCATGTCGACTGAGGAAAATGTGAATATCTGACGATGGACGCTGAGAAAGTTTCCTTCTCTCCGTGTGTTTGTGACGTGACGTGAGAGCAAACAGAAATATCACGTGTGTGATGGAGGTTCAGACGGATTCACTTTCCTGTTTCATGTAAAACAGCAGCTCAGGTTTCCCCTCCCCCCCTGGTCTGGGGGCTGAAAACATCCTTTTCTCCTCAAAGGTCAAACTGAGATTTGAATGACGGCTTCAAGTCCTGCTCGTGTTACGATCTGCAGCCGCCGAGCGCCGTCGTCCCTGGGAAAGTTCGGGGAGGCAATTAATTGTAAGGAATAATGGGACAAATGTCTCTGGAGGATCAGGACAGTGACGGCCGAGGTGTCCGCCTGCACGTTAATTGAAAAGTGGGGACGATGGGGGAGGATTGAGGGAGGGGGGGTTCTCATCCTCTCATCACACGACTCACGTTCAGGTGAGAGATTCTTATGAAATCTGATCCTTTGACACTGAAAATACCTGAAACCCAAATAGTTAAAGTTTAAAGCTGCAAGAATCAACTTTTAAAATCACCATCATGTCCTTTTTCATTTTTAATTATTAGTGACTTCTCAAGAGGAGCTGATGAAACACCTCAGAGCCTGTGGAGGGACAGAGGACTGAAGACGACGCTGAGGGGACAGACAGAGTGAAAGGACGTCAGCTGAACCATGAAATATCTGAGTCCTATAAGGTGACATCACGCCTCTGTCCCCTCTGTCCTCTCTTGGACCTCGTCTGTCCGGTGTCCTGACATTCACCTCAGTCATTCTCAGGCTTTTCAGCTGCAGCGTCTCCACCGGAAACTCTTTCAGGCTGCGTTTCAATGGACGCCCGCCAATCAACCAGCAGCTTCATCCTCTCACCTGCGACCGGAACTGAGACGATTGTTCATGTTTCTTCTTTAATGCAAAACAAGTCGACTTTCTGAAGCTCCCAGATACTTTGATTTTATATTTAATTACCTTATA